AAAATAAACTAGTTATCATTTTTTTAAAGATTTATCCAGATTTTAATTATTTTAAAAGTACATATACATCACGCAAGACCATAGTCTCAACTAATCGAGGACCAAAATTGTCTAAATTTTGATAGTTCAAATTAGGCCAAAGGATATTAATTTTGGAGTCTGGTGGACGAAATGGGATTCACCTACGGTTCGGGTGGCCAAAATAGACTTTTTTAAAATAATATATTTAAAAACTAAAATTAGGAATACCGGTAATTTAAGAAGTATCATCACAAGAAGACAACGAAAAAGTTATGGAAAATAAGGCAGAAAAAAAAAACATTGCATGCATGAAACATGAAGAAAGAGTAAAAGAACTAACTTGGCTTTTTTCTTTTTTTTTTTCTTTTTGAAGTGGAAGAACTAAGCTTAGCAGCCCGCTATCAGAAGGAGTAGAGGAAAGAATTTAAGTCCACACAGGAAATGTGCGCGGGCCTATGCGCAGTGCACACGGGCCACGGCGGTGAGACGAGGGGGTTGAGCGGCGATGGGCTTTGGATCCGCAGTCTGCTAGGCGGACTGGATGATTTTGCCGACGCCCGCCTCCTTCATATGGACAGATCCCTCAGAAACCCAGATGTTGTCGGGTGTTAAAGGATAATAACGCCATAATTTCTAGGACAGGTTCAAGGACAAAGTATGCTCTCCCGTAGGGATGACAATTTGTTCAAAATGGGTCTCAGAGAGATAATCAATGGTGGTAATAAGAGAAATTGCACTTAGATTGCAGGCATCTCCTAATCAACACCTCAGTTTATTTATCTCGAAACATTTACTGTATCCATGGAGTACTCTTATACAAACTGTCTTATTTATGCTACTGAGAGCTTATGACGAAAAGGATTTCACATTGTTTGTTCACGAAAGGACAGTCAAACCCTCTAGAAACAACAACAAACAAATACTGGACCCGAAACCTCAAGCAAAAAATATAGCTGAACAAACACACACAGCTTAACAGTTACTACACTGTTCGTTAATTTCTTCCTACACTGAAGAACTACATATTTTTCTGGATTGCAGGTTCCCCTCGGCTTCTTCTGGAAATGCTTCCTTGCTTTCTCCCTGAAAATCCGCAACACTACAACTTAGAAACTGGTCACGGGACGAGGAAGACATGGATTTGGGAAGAGCTTACAAAATCACCTGCTACCTGAAAACTAGATCCAAGAGCTCATTCCGAAAAGAGGCTTCCGAACAAGAAAAGAGTACATTGGCGTGAAGATCTCCTTCCTGTAGTTGTTTATACAACAGTAAGCAAACGCGAGGAAAGATTCAACGGAGATGTAGAGGATAGTACTGGAGTTACTGAAATTTTAGGTTATGTGATGTGATCCTTCTTTCTAGCTCAGAAAAAAAACAGACTTACTTTCCACCCTCTACAAGACCTTCTTGCAGCCTTCTCTGAGGAAATTAGATCCTCTCACTGCCCCCTGTGGTGCAAGACCAACATATTCCAAGGCCTTGACCTGAACAATATCGAAAAACAGACTCAGTGCCAAATCATAAAGCTTCTATTACTATCCCCTAATTGTCGGTTCTCAACCTGCTGATAGAGAATGGCAAATGATTTGATTGTGCAGAACAAATTTGTGCTTTAACTAACAAATGAAAAAAGGGCGTACTAAAGTCTGTAGCCTCCATTTCATGCTCAAAGTGGGTCTCAGGGACGGTGTCGGGTCTGAAGCCTTCCTCGCACGTGCAATGCACGCGAGGAGACCATGACAACCCGGGACCTTCCGGTCACAGGCAGTGTAGACTCTACCACTTGCACCAGGGCCCGCCTTCACAACTAACAAATGAAGTATCTGAAAAAAAAAAAAACAAACTATTTATTGGCCTCACCATTGTGTGTGAGAGTAATCATGCGTCCACCACGGAAGTCAAGCAGAAGCTACTCAGCTTAAAATCGGCTTGGATCCAAGGGCAAGTACCAAATGTAAAGGGAATCTTCAGCAAGATCCTTATCCCAAACAACCTGCATGATGAAAAAAGACTTACACATCTACGCACACGGATAAGCCATGAAACCACATCATATCAAGCAGAAATAAATAACAGAAGTGTATATTGCTTTGTCAATGGTGCATTGACCCCAGGTGGACTGTAGCAGAACATGATCAGAAAACAGAGGAAAGCATGCTATCTATCTTACCTCAAACCCAGCGTCTTTTACTGCCTGAAGACATTGCCGAGTGCTTCTGATATCTGGCAGGCCATTGCCAAGCTCGATTTCATCCTTGATCCTTTGTGGCCAGTCGCATTGTTAGGATCATAGTGGTCAGTAATGCACCACTCATACTGCGGCAAAAGCACTGGCCAGGCTTCAACACACGATATATCTCCTTATAGCAACCAACCTTTGCAAGAAAAGTAGCAGTTTAATTTTCCATTACAAGAGGAAACAAAATCATTGATAAATCTCAGTAAAGAAGTGATAATTTAAAAATTGAAATCTTACCACGGATCAGGTGCATGACATAATCGCCTCAATGGCATAAACAGCATCGAAAGTGTTGTCATCGAACGGCATCTTCATGAAGTCTGCCTGCATTACAGACACACAAGTGTTGCCCTTTTTAGCTTAACAATTAATTCAAAGAACTCCATCTACAGGCATCGAACTTATGTTAAAAGAATGGCATCTTCACAAAGTCTGCATTTATGATATGGCAAAACGTGGACAATATTCTAAGCTCCATCGAAAAAACATCAACTTTGCAACTTATTTATACAGCATTGCAAATGCATAGAGCTATTTGTGTAACAAAAATTTGCTCTAAAAAGGCTAATAACATTATTGTTTTCAACACAAATGCAACTGCAAAGGATAATTGGTTAACACCAAAGGTAACTGAAAAAGAGTAGCAAGAGCTAAAGAAAGGAAGAAATGCGCTAGTGGATAGGCTAACTGTACCTTGACAAAATCACAGGTTCCACTAATTCCTGCTAAACGATTGAGCTCCTGAATGTTGAAACGCCATGTTAGCATATGAGCAACATGATAAGTAATGTAACAGTGAAAGGTGTTGTGTGGTTTGAATAACCTTTCCCTGGTTATCTGGTACTCATTGTTATTCAATCCGGTAACTGGACGTTGAGCTGCACTAAAACCATTGCATGATTCAGTTGGCTGTGGGTTTTAGCAGAAAAGGATCGATACATGAAATGAAAGAAGGAAGTGCTTAAATAAAGACCAAGAGAAAGCACTGTCCATCCAAAGCAAATTCACCATAAGTGCTAACTTTTACTGCCTCTGATTTCAAGTGTGTAGGTTGTTTAGGACATTTACACGGCCTCTAACATGACACTTTGTAAAATATACCATTTGAATAGTCAAAATATATATAACGAAAATTTTCATCATGATGAATGTAGTAACCATGTGTTACATATTGATGGTCCAAGTTAAAAAAACAATTGAACAGATAGAATCCTGAAAGGCTAAAAGCGACCTACATTTCGAATCAGTGGGAGTAAGTGAAAATGATTAATCAACCCTAACACATTGGCCACACATGTTAAAAAGTTACAGTCGAGGACATCACAATTCACAAGCATCAAAGATCTTTGGCTCCAAAGAATCAAACCTAAATCTTGCAATTTCTCAGCGGACCACCTATTCCACAGCCCACATCTAAAACCTACAGTTGATAAATGAAAAGGCACACCTCTTGTTAGTGAAGAGCAACAAGAACCATTGTAAATTAAATTTTAACAGGAAACTGACCTTCATTCCTGGTTTCAAACCAAGTTGCAGGGCAAGAAAATGCTCATGTCGCTTGATGCTTTCGTAAGGATTCTCCATTCCATCTAACATAATAAGCATAGTTCAATTACCAAAGGCCATAAATAAGTATAAGTATATAACACTATGTTAACTCTCTAGTTTATTTGGAATAGGCACTAAACATTTCTTTTGTCCTGACAAATGAAGACCAACAATTTACTCTTTATGCAAGGAGTCCTCACCTGTGAGCAAAGTGGAAGGATTCACCCCAACCATACTCGTAGAGAAGCTAGTGGCGAGATCATAGTATTTATTAACCTGAAAAATCAGGGAAATGTCAGCTTCTAATATATATCTTATCTCAAGTATGTAAAAATGCCAAGAAGCAAATAGCCTCAACTCCAATGATGGTAAGATTCATCATGAGGCTATGCACAGCAAAAACATGTTTCAGCACCACTGATCTGTTATACTAAAGATGTACTTCTGCCCGACTTTTAACTATTTTTCTAATAATATATTCTCAAGGAATCTAGTCAAGTAGATTGCAAGCTGAGAAACCTTAGATTGCACCAACTGCAGCTAACTAGAGATTCATAGTACAGCTCGAATAAGGGGCATCAAATTTACACACAGCATAAAATTCTCTCTTCAAAAGGTTATATTACCATATCAGTATAGTTGGACTTTCTTGCTTCCTCCTTCCCTCCATAGTATCCATGATATTTCTCATACCTGTAATAAATATTAAAGTAAAAAAAAGATAACTAAGAATAATGACATAAGAGATTGTCTAGCAGATTCAAGTATATGTCCAGGATTCCTCCTCATAATGAGAACCTGCAGCAATCTTGTAAATCACAGTGTTTTCCCAATCTCTACAAATGGACGAGTGTCTCTTGAAAAGGAAAAGAACATAAACATCCTTGAACCAGGATGCTAGTTCCATTTAGCCATTTGAACAGTATGTTTGATGCAAAGGAGAAAAAATGAATATCTTGGTGGCTCCTTAATGGCATGTACTATATGAAAGGACAGGTTAAAACCTGGCACATGGTGGACTATTGTGAGCTAATAATGGACCAGAAGCTGTCAATAATGTTCTGTCAATAATGCAACCCATTACATTGCGACAACGAGACTTGGCTACAGAAGTACAGATACAGATAGTGACATAGTAGAGGACATACATCAGATGCTGACATTTTCTCTACCCAACAATTAAGGGAATAGTAAACAAATCTGCACATATGAAGAACTAATATAGACATCTTGACAGTGACCTGTGACACAAAGTACAGGATTTTAAAAAGCCCTCAGCTAAAGAAAAGGGACCGGACAGTTGAATTATTGGATATATTACAGCTTGAAAGGTTACGCTAACTAGTAACAAAACATTTGGTGAAAAACAAAATGCAGTAACAAATAATTGGCTGCTGTAAAAGAGCATATGAGCCTATGAGGTAAGAAAAAGAAACAAAATACAAATATCAGCTAATGAAGATCCTAACGGAAGAAAATCCTCTAAAAAGATTATCCTACCAACAGAAGTAAAAAAAAGTATTCCTTTCTTTTAATTTAGACCTACAAAGTACAAATACACAAAGGATACCTGGAAATCAAATTCAAATCTGAAGGCCACAAAAGCAATTGCAATTATTTAAGGAGTAAATGAACTACATTAACTCCTCTTTATTATTCTTATAAACATCGTCAGAGCTCTGCAATATCCAATAGAACAGAGACATGCCACCCACCAACCGCAAAGGAAACTGGGCAGATCCAGGAACATACTCATCGACGGCCAAACTTGACTTCTTCCTTGTCGATCTTCCCACCGAGGCCAGAAGCAAGATCTAGCGCGCTCCTGACTTGGACATCGTGTAGTGTAGGCGGCCGGGACAGATGAAAATGCACCTGCAACAGTTGCTCTCTGTCAGAGACCAGAGCCCTCCACCCGTTTCTTCAAGATTTTGAACCGTGCCGAATATATGCACTAGGGCTTGTTTAGATTGAAAAAAATTTCAACCCGATGAATAGTAGCACTTTCTGTCTTTATTTGGTAAATATTGTCCAATCGTGGACCAACTAAGCTCAAAAGATTCATCTCGTGATTTCTAACTAAACTGTGTAATTAGTTATTTTTTTACCTACATTTAACACTCCATACAAACGGCTAAAATTGATGTGACGGAGAGAGAGTGAAAAACTTGGAATTTTGAGGGTGTCTAAACAAAACAAGGCCCTAGTACTAGTACGTGGACAGATGAAAAGGATGTCACATGTCACTTCTCCTTTTTGCACACAAGAAAGGAGAGGAAAGTTTGAGCAAAGCAAGTAACCGAAAGAGTGATGGCGACTGGGCGAGTGGTGTGGGATGGGCTGGTGGCAGGCTGGCAGCAATGCACAGCAGAGAACAAACGGGTGGGACAAGACAAAAAGGAGGCAAATACGTCGTCAGATCCGAAGAAATTTGGGAAACTGTTATCTGCATTCGCGCTCAGCCAAGCGAGGGAATCGTCAGAGAACTGGACGGATCGGGGAGGAAGAAATCAAGAACGGTTTGGGTCTCTGTATGTTCCTATCCACGGCGGAGAAACGATTCTGCAAGGCCAACAACGGGGAATCGATTTCAGACGTAGAGGGGGAGGAAGCTAACCTGTGGGCGGAAGGCGGCGCGCGGCAAGCGGACAATGCTCGCCGGAGCGGGTGGCGGAGGTGCTGACGCGAGGGAGACGACGGGCGGGTCGGGTGGCGGCGTTAACTCTGTCCGAGGTAGAGGGGCTCTTGTTCCGATTCCGACCGACGGAGAGGAGTAGATTGGCACGGCGGTACAGGAGGAAGCCGAGGACGGCTGGACGAGCGGCGCGGGTGTGAGAAGTCTGGAGGGTCAGTTTGGGGATATCACTCGCTGTGGGACATGTGGTGCGGTGCGGTGCCGGTTTGGTTCGGTCGATTCGAGCGGTGGGGAGGAGGGAGGCTGATTCATTTCCAGGAGAATTTTTTTTTCTAAACCTTTTTAACTATTTTCAAAGTTGACACTGTATTTTTTTTATTTTTAAATCTAACACTTTTGGCCGCGCCTAGTGCGGCGCGGCAAAATAACGCTGCCGCACCATGCATGACGACGTGGCAGGACCAGTGACGTGGCGACGACCCGGGCGCGGACCGGTGACGTGGCAGGCTCCTAGTAGGTCACACAAGGAATGAACTTATTAGCTGATTTAAAATATTAATTTTCAAATATGAAGGGAACCTCCTGGTAGGTCACACAAGGAAATGTTACTAAGCACATGGTTGGTTGAAGTTGCAGCCATTATCTTTGTTCCTAGGAGTACGCACCAAAGGTACTCCTCCATCCCAAAACCTGACGTTTAGGACATGATTGTGCTTTGCCAAGAGTCATTAATTAGGGTATAGTTTTCCCTATATGCCCCTATTAAATATCTTTGTTAAAGCGCTATCCATATGAGAAAGTTTCTGGCTCATCCGGTTGGTGCGCGGTGTGGGTGAGCCCCCTGAGTCCCGAGGTCTTGAGGTCGAAACTCCGTGGACGCATTTTTTTTTGCCCGTGGCTTCATTTTGCATGGGTTTGGGTGGGGCGTGGCACGTGCGCGTTGGCTCGCATGGCACTGGTGCGGGTGGGAGCGCGTTTGGTGTTGTTTTGGCGCGTTGGTGCTTGTTTTGCGCCGTTCGGCGCTTTCGGGGTTTGCGCGCCACGTAATTTTTCCGTCCAGCGCTCAAGCATTCTAATTTGGCGCTAATCGCTGGCGGTCTCCGGGCGCCCGATCGCTCGCTTCTGCTTCATTTAAAAGCGCCTCGTTCTCCACTGCACCACTCCCATGCTTGTCGTGCTCCACTCTTTTCTTCTCCACTCCTTCTCAAATGCAATGGCTAATCCATTTGATTTGAACGTTCGTTTGGAAGAAGATGACGGTGACGTCGATCTCAATGAGCCAATATTGGAGGACGACACCATAAATGGTAATGTACTACTCAGTTTGTTTGGTTTTTTTGTTTTATATTCAAAGCAAGAACGTGTGGTAACGTTTCTTATTTTCTTTCTTCTTTTTTGGACAGGGTTCGATTTGAACTTGCCATTAGATGATTTTGGTGCTTGTCGATTTTCGATTACCTACAAAACCTTCTTTGGTAATTTTTTTCTCATTTTGTTCTTTCGTTTTCTCAGACTTGCAATGAAGTTTGGCGCTTTCTTTCCCTTTGATCTGAACGTTTAGCGATTTGGCGACGACAGCAACCTTGCCTTGGATCTCAACGAGGCTGAAAATGACGATGGTGACGCTTGGCTTTGATCTCGAACGAGCCTGAAGATGAGCGAGCATGGCATCGGTAAAATGCTTCGCTCTTGTTTTCCTCTTCGCATGTACTACAGCATGTTCTTCTTCTCTTGTGCATGACGAGCTAGAACATGCTTGTGAGCATCTGTTGTTGAATGTCTTTGTTTTTTTTTCATATATTGAGAGCATGCCGTGAGTACTATTAAAATGGTTGTTTTTTCCTTTTGTTAGAACAACATGCCGATCAAGTAAATCAACGAAGCATGACTATTCGATCATGTTAGACAACAAGTGTACCAAGCATTGTTGATGAGAAGTAAGAATGGGAAACTAGGCAAGCAAGATACAACAATTGTTGGTGCTCAATTTGGAGTAAAGATTCGATCGATTCAGTAGCATATGGAAGCAAGGTAAAAACCAACTTGCTCACAACATTCCAAATCATGGTTCCTAATCTAAAGAAAGGTAGAAGTGGCCGTAAAGCAATCCCTCTTGATTTGGAAAAATTGCGGGACATTCCTCTCAAGCAAAGAATGACCATAGAAGATGTGTCTAGTAGACTTGGTATTAGCAAATCTAGGATACATAGGTACTTGAAAAAAGGTTTGCTCAGACGCCACTCTAGTAGCATAAAACCTTACCTCACCGAGGCTAACAAGAAGACTAGGTTGAAGTGGTGCATTGACATGATTGAGCAAGGTTTAGTTGATGATCCAAAGTTTAAGGATTTGTTTGACTTTGTGTTTATTGATGAGAAATGGTTCTACATCTCTCAAAAATCCGAGAGATACTACTTGCTACCCGAGGAAGATGAACCACATCGTACTTGCAAGAACAAGAATTATATCCCTAGGCTCATGTTTTTGTGTGTTTGTGCTCGGCCAAGATTTAGAAATAGAGAATGTGTGTTTGATGGCAAAATAGGTTGTTTTCCACTAGTCAATTTTGAACAAGCTATTAGGCAGAGTGGAAACCGTCTTAAGTGGTGCACAAGTTATCAAGCCCATAACTTCAATAACAAGAGATGTGATTAGAGAGTTCATGATAAACAAAGTGCTGCCCGCTATCCGAGCCAAGTGGCCAAGAGAAGATGTGCACAAGCCAATTTTCATACAACAAGATAATGCACCTTCTCATCTAAAAGTGGATGATCCTATTTTTTGTGAGCATGCTAAGCAATATGGGTTTGACATTCGGCTTATTTGTCAACCACCCAATTCACCGGATTTCAACATTCTAGACTTGGGTTTTTTTCGGTACTATTCAAGCTATTCAATACAAGAAGAATGCAAAAACAATGCAAGATTTAATTCCAGCCGTGCAGCAGGTAAATTGATCATCCATTCGATTGTTTAAATTGATCTTGGACAAGTAATGAACTCACTAATTCATTTCTTGAACACATGTTTTGTAGGCATTTATGGAGTACTCTCCACAGAAGGCAAATATGATCTTTGTGACACTACAAACTGTTTTGAAGGAAGCAATGAAGATAAAGGATTGCAACAAAATCAAGATTCCTCACATGAATAAACAAAGACTAGAGAGAGAAGATAGGCTGCCATTGTAAGTCCCTTGTGAAGCTTCTTTGCTAGCGAAGCACTAGCTGCTCTCTCCATGCATGAAACCATTAGAAGAAGCAAGTTAGCTTTTTGCACCAAATTAGATAATGCATGTACTGTATGTTAGCTTTTGCACCTTACTGATCCTGTATGCACTGTCGTTAGCTTGTGACTCCAGTTGCTTCAGCTTTTGTTCTTCCAGTTTCTTCATATTGTATTGTTCGTCCGCCTTCTTCATTACGTGCTCGGAAGAAGAATTGTGTCACCTCTCATTTGAAGTTCGTGCACATCGTGAATATACACTCACAATCAAATTTTTCCATCTTATCGCACACCCTTGCTGCATGAGATTGTAGTCCTCATGTAAAAGACCACAGCGGGCACACTGCGAGCTTCGCGACGAAGCCCGAGCATGCTTCGCCGAAGATGCCGCCGGCATGGAACGTGGCCGCAGATGAGACGGTGCACCACCTCGTCCAAACCCGGTGAGTCCGGCGATTACCTCGATGGAGTCCGGTAGCACCACGTCGGAGTCCGGCACCTCCTCGACGGAGTCCGGCACCTTTACTCCACGCAAGAGCCGAGGATCGCGGCGGCGACCAAGAAACGAGGCGTCGAGTCCATCGGCGATTAATCGTAGGTCGAAGAACCGTTGGCGAGCAGCTCGCCAGGATAAACCCGTCCTCGCGAGGCCTCGGGAGCCAGGGACGCCGGTTTTCACGAAAATGCTTGATTTGCCAGGGCGTCGGGTTTTTTTGGGATGGAGGGAGTAGCTAATCTTTGAACTCCAAGGTCACACAATCTGACCGCTTTCGAACATTTATTCTGACCAACTTGCGCCCCTTCTATTGTCCTCTGTGTAGTATATAGTACAAAACCAAACAACAATTATTGTTGCAAACCTAATCTACTTAAAAAGCTGGATTGGTTTGTTGATCACCAATACAATATATATATATTCATTTGGTTGGTCTTTGAGTCTTTGGTTTAAATTGTACCGGTGGTGCTGGTTTTTTGTGAGAGAAAAACACTGTTGGTTGGCTGGTTTAAATTCAAGCTAAAAACCAACCAACCGAACAGGGTATATAAGGTGGAGAAACTCAAAGAGGTCACACCAATCCGACACAGCATTTATAAGGTGGAGAAACCAACAGAAGACGACGTTTGTTATTGTATTGGTGAAGCTCTTGTTGCCGTATTGTTTGGGTGTAGCAGGTGGAGAAATTTGTCTTGTCGTTGAAAGCAAAGCTGGTGATAAATAAATAACTCTAAAGAAGAGTTGGTGGCAGTGCACCATCGTTGTACATATACCCATTGACAGCATGGTGCAATCAGGGCAAACTGATCAATAACAAAAAAAAATGTTACCAAGAAATTTAATTAAATCTCGATGCTTCCTCTCATTGATAGGCGCTTTTGCATATATATCACCACAACTGGACGAGTTGATGATGGATTAATAAGACTAGTTTGCAGGCGGAGTGCGTGGCAAAACTGATTGGGCTTGCTTATCCATACTGATGATGCCAAGAGGTATATGTTGCGCATGAGATTTCTTTTTTTTCCTGTGTCAGCCTGAGTCCAGGGCCACCAAGAGCCCAAGCTACAGGGTGCCTTGGCACTGCATCTGCTCTGCTTTGTTTCTGCTCTGATCTACGTCCTCTTTGCTCTGTTCACATGATTCGAGTATTATTAAGCATACATATACATAGATAGGCAGGTCGTGTTCCGTTCCATTCCATTCCATGCATACATACGAGAGGGCACAGGATGAGGCTGCTGCTGCAGAGATAGGGAAAGCAGAGGACAGCCCCATGATAATCGACATGAAGGAAGCCGAGTCAGGTCGAGCAAGAATGATTTGCCTGGTTTCATGAACGTCTATCAGGATCAGCCTACCAAATTCGTGCTCCATGTCCGCTCGCTTTCTGCTATTATTGCACTACAAAAGATTTCATCATCACAGATATTCCGTTCAGCACCTGATGTCCATTACTTTAACAAATGTACATAGGCCCATTACTTCAAAACAATAATTATGCAGTGAAGAAATATAGATGCACAAGACTACAAGATCACCAGCAGGGTTTCCAACATCTTCGCTTCTTGTTTCAATGTTTTGTACACAGTCTGGGTATGACCAGTCCCTTCCCCATTGGTAGTAGGCAGAGCAATTGAGAAAACAGAGTATGTGTATTGTTTGGTGCAGATGACGAGCTTCTACCGATCGGGTCTCACTCCGCGGGCCACTGCAAGCTAGCACCATGGGTCTCTCTCTTCCCTGCATACATTAGTTACACGATCAATGAATAAAGATACTTAAAAATAGAGTGTGTACTAAGCGGTACTGCATAAAGTAGTACGACTAGGTACACTGCCTTGTGAACAAAAAGTAATACTAGTTCCCTGAATATCTACGTGATTTATTTCTGATATGACCGTGCAGCAATTAATCTTCGTCTTCTGCCAAAGTAGTCGATAGTGCATGACTTGATATGGCTAATCTTGTGGTACTCACATGAGCTGCTGCCTGTTAACAAGGACTTGTACAACTTCTCGCTGCATGCCAACTTGAAATACCTTGGGGTTACTGTTGTCAGATATTCCGGAATCGTCTCCATGGTGCTGTCCATCATCTCTATGCTGTCAAGTGACGGGACTCCTTCTAGCACCTCCACATTTGGGCAGTATAAGGTCTCGATTTTCTGCAACTTAGAGAGATCGCTGATCCTTTTCAGCTTGGGGCAGTCGAATACTTTAAGTTGCACGAATGAAGGGAAGTTCTCTATATATGTCAGGTTGCTCAGCTTGTACAGGCGCACTTCTCTTAGAGCATGCCTCCTGCTACTGGCGAGCCCTGGTGGAAGACAAGCTAGCTTGCAGCTAAGAATTATGAGCTCCTTGAGAGCAGGCATGGCCATAGCTTCTGTAGTCTCACTCTCGCTCTCCTCCTCCCAGTCCCACTCCTCCCATTCACTCAAGCCATCCAGACGAAGAAATGACAGATTAGGAAATGTTACTACTGATCTAGGAGTGGCGTCTATACCTCCACTCATTGCCAGGGAGGAGGGTGACTGGAACTCAGGCCCAACACTCTTGATGGCAGGTGCGTCAATAATGGCCAGAGTCTCCAAACTAGCAGCCTGTTCGGATGGTTGGCTGGTTCGTGGCTAGATCGTGGATTATTACTGCTGGCTGGTTTGGTGTGAGAGAAAAATATTGTTCCGACTGGAAATTTACGAACGTTTACGAGATCCACCAGCTAACCGAACAGGCTGTAGGGAGCTGGCACAAACCGTCAGGGAGTTGGGTGCAATAATGAAGTTTGTCCATCCTTAAAATCCTCAGGCTCTTAAAAACCCATGTAGCTGGAACCATCATCCAATTTGGCAGCCGGCTACCAAAGTATCCTTCAATGTGTAGATGTCGTATGCTGGATGGAGGGCTGAGCTTCTCAATTACCTCCTCCAAGGCTCGCTGCTGCTGCTACTGCTGCTGCTTGTTGGTTTCATCCCTCAATCCCATGAATCCGGTGCTACTCCAATGTAGTTCCAAGTAATCAAGGTGCTTCTTTGCTACTAATCATGGCCATTTTCAACCAAGCTCAACCACAATGGCTGACTCAACAAACTCAGATTGATGACGAAGTTGAACTTGTGAGCCTCTATCTCAATCTTCTCACCAACAATGGCTGACTCAACAAACTCAGATGTCATCTTCTCGCTAGTGGACATCCTCTGCTCCGGTGGGAGCCTAGATTGATGATGGAGTTGAACTTGTGAGCCTCTTTGTATATGTTGTCCAGCCTCTGGTTGAGCTCCTTGATGCGGTTGCCTATCTTGTGTGCGAAACACAGGATTTCGTAGGCAGGAGAGCAATGGCTGGCAGCAACCTGGAGCCTTTTCAACCAAGCTGCTACCTTTAGATTCGCTCTGCTTGTCAGCCGTCGATTTGACATAGGTCTAGGATGTCAGTGGCATCATACATGGCGTTCTTGAGCTTCTACACCCATCTTTGCACACTCAATTCAGTGATGTGCTTCCTCTCAGCATCAGCAAGAAAGCATTTGATACTTTCCATGTTGTTCTCTAGCTTCTCAATATCGCGGATATACCCAGCAACATTTTCACCTCTTCTGTTGCCATGTTGGCTATCAGCTCCATCACCTAGGGTCCCATAGCATCCAAGATGGCGGCCATGGCTCGAGCAAGCGTCCGTCCTATACATATACATGTACATCAGAATCACACTTGTTTCATGTAAAACAACCATAGGATCATTTATTCTTTTGTGCCACTCACACTAAATCACATTATACTGGATCCTCATAGTTTGGATTGTGATCATTCTATTTTCAAACTAGATCTATGGGTTGTTTTTAAAGACAATAAGGATTAGCAAAGGGATACGAAAATGTTGTAGCTTAAGGGTCAAGACGTTTAGTATGCTTACTTACACCGAAAGGCGTGCAGCAGGGAGTTTAAAGATCAAGACGTTTGTTATACTTACATCAAACGGCGATCAGCAGGGAGTTTAAAAACTAACACAGGAATAGAGCTAGCCTCGCTCTAGTTACCTATTTTGCTCCTTCTTTTTCCTTTTTAGGAAGGATCCATATAGAAATTGCTGTCAACATGTAGATTCGCTACAGATACATTATACAGGCATGATCCTGCATTAATCTGAATACAACAAGCATGCATGTATAGGTAGCTAGCAAAATAAACTTAAAGAATCTCCAAGAGGATCTCTACAAACCTCTTTATCATAAAATTTAGAAGAAAAGAAAAACAAAAACCCAGGCTCCTATAGACTCTCTAAACCACCCTCCATCACTTTTGCAATCTCAAACCACCCTTCTCGATGTCCATCAATAGAGAGGCTACACTGTTCTCTAAATTCAAGATACGGTACTTCTCTCACGAAATTTTCACACAAGAAAAATCATGATAAAGAATTGAAGTATACATATAGAACAAAAAGTACAAAACCTAGAGATATGTGGAGGGAATATTTATGGGATGTCTCTCTAAATATAGATATATACATTTTGAAGTTTAGAGAACCTCTTGGAAAAGGATGGACGAACAATGCAAGCAAGTAAGAAGATACTACACTTAGAATGGAAGCAGGCATTACTAGTAGAGTAGTATATAGTTGTGTAGAGGCAAGTGCAGCTCGAGTTCCCAATAATAATAATGGAACCAGCTTGCTGCTGCTATATATATGGCGCACTACAATATATTACTCGTAGATCTACCTTGCTTGATGATTGATAACTGCACTGTTAATTAAATATAATAATAACCTAATTGTGCTTGTTCTAGAAAGCAGAGACATTGCTGGAACTGGAATACCCTATCCTATGCACTACTCGTAGTTGTTCTTTCCAATGTCCATCGGCAACGCAACGCAGGAATAAACAATTATAATAAGGCTTAAATATTGATATCATCAAGCCATGCTACCCATAGTAGATCTCACATCAAGTTATACCACTAATCTTAAGTAACATAGTGTAGGCTTAAAATGATTGCCTATTTCATCATGATACTTAAGAGTAAAGATTAATACAACCCGTGCGAGAGCACGGGTTGATGGACTAGTTTTCTATTAATGGAAATGAAACAACAATTTGTTTTTTTTTGAACATATAATCTTATTTAAAATATTATTTTTTTAAATGAAGGGAGTAAACCTCCTAGTAGGTCACACAACGAATCATACTAAGCACATGGTAGGGCAAAGATGCTGCCATTATCTTTGAGTACGCACCAAATTAAAGGTAGCTAGTACTACTCCAAAGGGCAGACCAATCCGACTGCTCAGCCGCATTTGTTACGACCAACTTGCAGCTCTTCCTCATCCTCTATCTACATCTATACATATATCTATATCTATATCTATATACTCTTATAAAGCTATATACTTTTATAAAGCTAAACCCCACTAGAGATTTTCTCTCTTCATGCAAGATGTTCACATCATTCCCCACTAAGTGTTCCACTAACTTACAATCCTTTCATGCAAGTTATCCATATCATCCCTTATTAATTTCAAAAATGTCAACATCGTCTGTATTATGTGCAATACTTTTAATCTCTAATCTATTAACGTAAATTCATTTACAAATGCTATTTGTTTCCTCACTTATTCTTCTATAATGTGATCAAATATTAACTAATCTTTTCCTCCAAACTCTGCCGATGTTTTACTATCGATAGCACCTGCCACGGGGTACCCGGGCGGTATGTTCGGGTTTGCGTATATGCTGAACTTCGATGGTAAACGCAGAGACGATCGATTTATCTGGTTCGTGCCCTCGATCGTAGATCGAGTAACGCACCCTACGCCTAGTCGGCGTTTGCCTTTTGCGTTGGATTGATTATGAAGTGTTATGTTGTACCCGTCACGGGGTATTCGGGACGGTGATTTGTTCGGAGGGGTATCGGCGTTTGCAGGAACTCGATGGTAAACGGAGGGAGACAACGATTTATACTGGTTCGGCACGCCGGAAAGTCACGGCGCCCTACGTCCAGTGTGGGGTGGATAGTATATTGCGCCCTGCGCTATTTGTTGTGGTTGTGAGTTCTGTCGGTTATGTCTGTCGCTCATGTGTGTGTGTTAGCTAGGTCTGTCGGTTATGTCTGTCGCTCCCGATCTAGGGACCCCTGCCCTCCTTTATATAGTCTAGGAGAGGCGGGAGTCCTAGTCGGTTACAAAGTAGAGATCCTAGTAGGATTATGTGTAACTAGTTCTAGTAGGATTACATGTAGGGAATCCTAGTTGGACTAGGTCTTCTTCTCTCTGATCTTGTGTTGGTCCTTGCCGCACCTTGTCGGGGTTCTTTTTTGATCAATCCGGGTTCTTTCTGATCTTGTCTTGGTCCTTGCCGCACCTTCTCGGGGTTCTTTTTTGATCAATCCGGGTTCTTTCTGATCTTGTCTTGGTCCTTGCCGCACCTTCTCGGGGTTCTTTTTTGATCAATCCGGGTTCTTTTTGAGCTTGTCTTGGTTCTTGCCGTACCTTGTCGGGATTCTTTTTTTTTATCAAACCAGGTTGTTTCTGGACTAGCTCTCAGGAGCGTGTTTTTCCTGATCTCATGGTACGGATGTAGCTCCCTGCATGTTAAACATAAAAATATGTTGTAAATGACATTCCGGATATGAAGTCAGGAGCATGTCCCATATTTGGATAATCAATCAGGGGCGGGCCCCGGCATCATAAAATGCATATAAACTCTTTTTTTTTGCGTCTTGCTCTTGTTAGGCCATGCAAATTCCTCGTAGTGTCCTGTTCGCTTTAAGCACTTGAATCTCCGGGCGTATGGTTCGTGAGGTTCATGACGTGACCATGTGAGCTGTGCACTTTTCGGTTCGTGACCATCCATGTGAGTAGACAAGCTTCACGGATTAAGGCATGTTCTACCCGAGGAATTCAATGACCGTAAGAGAAGACCTAGAGCACTATGTTTGGTCACATGATGATTTTACTTGGAGCACCATGTTTGCTCGCATGATGATTTTTGTGTCTTCCCTTGCTAGGTCGGTTAATTTCGGGTAGTAGCTTGTTATGTTTAAGCACTTGAATCTCGCGTATGGTTCGAGGTCTATTGATCGCGTGACCACCCGTATGGTTCGAGAGGTTCTTTGACGTGACCATCCGTATGGTTCGAGAGGTTCATTGACGTGACCATCCATTCGAGAAAAACAAGCTTCACGAATTAAGGCTTACCATCCGAGGAAATTAACAAATCTGTTAAGGAAGATGATATGGCCACAGAGGCATACTGAATAATATCCTAAATGTAAAAAAATTAAAGCGCCATTTAGCTTGGTTCATGGCGAGAGTTGTCTATTGATGGGGTAAACCAGTTGAGTGGCTTATGTCGAGTACTTTCTAACAACTCTGAACTGTCGTCGTGTTCTCCGAAGCCTTTGTCGTGGTCATTGCCGGCGTCAGGCGTCTGGTGCATCCATCCAGCTTGCGACGTGTGTGATGGAGTTGTCATGGTGCGGATGAAAGTTGATCTTTGTTCTGGTGTATGTGTACTAGT